TTATCATTTGTTACTAAGGCTGCTGTTCTGACATCGGCGTTCTGCGGCTATCCATTTTTATGGCTAGCAGTGTTTGCTGACGTCGGTACATGCTTGTTAGTTATCATCAATAGCATGTTAATATTACAAGGGACAACTACACATAGAGTAAAATGTCACAAGTTTGCATGTGCACCAGACAACACTGGACATGGCTTACAAAGTGGCTGTGGGCATGACAAACATGGCTGTGGGTCGAAAGACACACACAATCTGCATAGCAGTGTGAGTCACATTCACAAAAGAAGCTGTTCACATGGTGATCCACCAAGCGTATGCGGTCACAAGAAAGATCATCAGACTTATACTCCAAGAAGTCCATGTCAAATTGCTAGTCCTGTTTCCCTTGCTAAGTGCAATGGTCATAGAGGATGTAGTACAGATTCACATGAAACGCCATCGCACGTGATACAAATAAATAAGGTTGACAGCAAAGTAGATACATGCAAGAATCACTCAAATGGTGAACACAATGTCTGTACAAAGCAGGTGGATACTCCTTACCATTGTTCAAGGATAAGCCAACACACAAAGAATGCTTGTCAGGGACACTCATGTTCAGTCAGCAGTGAGATGAACAATCTAGATGAAGACCAGAGCTTAAAGCAAGTATGTGAGGGGCATACTGATCACTTGCATGAAGACCTTAACAAGAAACACCATCATCGTCATCATCATCACCAGCTACCATGTCAGGCATTGAATCACAATATCAAGACTACAACTCTTAATGGTGCAGGCTGCTTACACAATCGAGATAGACATGTTGATTGCCAGGCAGAAGCATCAGTATTTAATGAGCCTAACAATTGCATTATGGGAATGTGCTGCGAAGAACTGAATAAGGTCATGCATACCTGTGCTAGTCTGGAGAAGAGGGGGAGTAGTGATTGTTGCAGCAAGAGCTTCAGGAGGGAATGTGGAGGGATGCATGGAACTGCGACAGGAGTCTTAACAGAAATTATTACAGAATAATGAATAGATTTGTTTAACAATCTAGAGAGGGTGAGAGGCAAGAATATACTTGTACTTTCCATATGAATGATGGGTTTTTGTAGTTGCAGTAGACTTCAAAAGTTCAGAACAACAAATGAAATGAGAAATTTTATACATGCAGGAATATATAAATATAAGATGGGGATGCACCAGATCCTGTGTGCACCATTGTTTGTTGCAGAGTTCAATAAGCCTAATTTTCTGTCAGGTTGTCTGACAAGCACATTCTTTTCTTTAATATCAAGGATAAAGCATAAACAGAGTTCAATAAGCCTAATTTTCTGTCAGGTTGTCTGACAAGCACATTCTTTTCTTTAATATCAAGGATAAAGCATAAACAGAGTTCAATAAGCCTAATTTTCTGTCAGGTTGTCTGACAAGCACATTCTTTTCTTTAATATCAAGGATAAAGCATAAACAGAGTTCAATAAGCCTAATTTTCTGTCAGGTTGTCTGACAAGCACATTCTTTTCTTTAATATCAAGGATAAAGCATAAACATGTTTTTGTTAAGTCTATGACTAGGGGTGTTATTCGAGCCGAGCTTAGTATGTTCAAGCTTGGCTTGTTTATAAGCGAGCCGAGCTCAAGCCGAGCCCAAAAGTTAATTCGAGCTTTCTTTTGTGCTCAAGCTCGGCTCGTTTAGCTAAACGAACGAGCTCGAGCCGAACCCAAAATTTAATTCGAGCTTTCTTTTGTGCTCAAGCTCGATCGGCTCATTTAGCTAAATGAATGAGCTCGAGCTGAGCTTTGCCGAGCCTATCATGAGCCGAGCTACTCGGCTAAATTACACATAATAATGTTATTAGAGCCGAGCTTTGATATATTCGAGCTTGGCTTGTTGATAAACGAGCCGAGCCCAAATTTCAGACGAGCTTTCTTTTGTGTTCAAGCTTGGTCGTTTAACTAAACGAGCTATCTCGAGCTGAGCTTTAACCAAGCCGAGCCCGAGCTGCTATCTATGACAACATATATCTTTGTTGGTCAGACTATCTGAGAAACAAAAGTGATGACAAGGTTAAATTGCTTCATCAATACTGAAGAAAATTGGCCTTTCTAAACATTTGAACAGAAGTGTACAGAAAGATCAAATAAGCACAATGGAAAAAGAATTCTTGGGCATGCCCCATGGCGCAGCTTCTATCTGGTATTGTATGGCAAATTGCAACTTGTTTCTTCAAAAACGTACTGAAGGGATCCCAAATTCTTCTCACTCGTGTCCTCTTGTAAACGACATGCTATATTCTTTCCTCAAACAGCTATATATACCCAGGAATTATGTAACTCCACTTTATGGAGGAAAATCGTCACACTGCACTCATACCTGCCACACTGACATCATAAATTCCACGTCATGGACTGATGCACACACTGTCGCTTATTAAATCATAGAAGTGATCTCCTTTTGGCCATGTTTTATTTTCTGGTTGGGGTAACTTTTTTTTTCCCTATGGCATATATAGCTCTCTCTTTAGCACTGAAGATGTCCTTGTATATAGCTTTATGCTTAATTTTGTATTTCTTTTCTTCATAAAAGCAAGATGGGATTATCAACGTGCCTCACATTGCACAATCATGTTCACTAATTCTGTGATCTACTTATGGCCCTGCCCATAGTTTTCCAGGAGAGAGAACAGCTGAACAGTATGTAGTCCTCTGCTGCTGCACCTTGCAAACCTTTTCCTGCTGCCCGGCCTGTTCAAATTTGCTGCACCTAGTAACTTTATTTATAGCGCTAAACGCTAATGTGATCTTCAAACATGCTTGCGGGTTTTTAAACTTTGAACCAAACACGCACGGATATGGATTTCTGTAAGGGATTTTGAGATTTGTATGTCACCATTTAACAAAGATGTAGAAGTCGCATTTTTAACAAGCTAGAATCAATGAACAAAGCATAAGAGATGGAATGAAATTAGTAGTGAAAGCAATACATGAGTGTACACTAGCTAGCTAGGTCAAAGAATAAACTTAAAAGCAATAATACAAATTAGTGAACATATAGTGCATAGATGAGTTAAAATGTTGTCTTAGTGTATTTGACCAAATCTTAAGACAAAATAAACATGGGTTTTGCAAAATTGCTTTTATTGATTCTTATTCCACCCTCAAAAGACCAAAAAACAAAAAGAAAGAAATTCTCTATATTTTTATCAAAAAAGTTTTCTTTCTCTCTTTAGATTTCATGCATTGCCCCCCTACACATTGAAGAGTCAGAAGTTTAAGCTATGATATGCTTTGCTTGAATATAATGTTCTTCATTAAGTCAGAGTTTTGGTCTGCAAGTTGAGTTGGTACCCACCTTTCAATGAGGAAGATATGCTTTGATATTATTGGTCCACATGACTCATTTGTAGCATCCACCAGGTTCCCATATCCAATCTTTCTTTATATCTTTTGTTTTTTGATTGATTGTTGAGTATTCGAAAAAAAATGCCGACATCTTATACATGGAATATAACTAAAATGTTTCAGCTAGCCAATGCAACTAGACTATGAGAGGAATCATGCACACATACACTTATCTAATTTTGTGCTCCTTCTTTGTGATCATGATTCATGAAGGCCAAGTTGTTGCTGCACAACCACTTGAGTGCAGGTTGAATAATACAATTATACTGATATCTGCCATTGAATTCTTTGAAGCAATCCGTAAGGGTGACGCTGCACCTAGGGATGGATCTAAGTGGGGGTGACGCTGCAGTGTTGCACGCAGGGATAGAGCTATAGTTCAACTCTATCAGTTCTCTTGGACACAATTTTGTTAATGATGTTTCTGGCAAGATTAGTACATACTATATTTTTATTAGCCTATTATTTACAAAACAGCACTCATCACTTAATGAGAATTAGGTCTGTTAGTTTCTTAACCTGACATGGATATCAGCAGTGAATGGTCGGTAGTAGTGGACCATGAAGCTAGAGCACTTGAGTTGAAAGTTGAAACACACCATGCACTAAAGAGAAAAAGGTAATACTGCCACTGGTACTAACTGTGGGGGCTAATTAGTGCTTAAAACATTGCAGCTAAACAGCTAATATACAAGCTCATGCAAATAACAAGTATCATGAGAAAATCACCTTATACTTTTCACCAGGCAAAATAACAGGAAGGCCAAGAAACAGAAAACAATGTTATGAGAAAGAGCAACACAAGGACACCTACCCCATTCTTCTTCATCATGGATGATGCCTTTGCACAAGTCAAACAACACTCATGTAGTATGTAGGTCCATAACCAGCTAATCCACATCCCATTTCCCAAGCATGCATCCTTCTCCCTCTTCCCCCCCTCCCAAAATATCCTTTATCCAAAGATTCTATTCCCACAACCATTTCTGTCACTCCCACAACTT